GTTAAAATTTTGTAGAATTGTGAATAATGGAACATACTAAAAAAAACGATTTTAAAATATAGATAACAGGTGCAAACATTCTCTCTTTTGTATGCTTAGCAAGATTTAGCAAGGGTGTACATAAATAATAAAAAAGAAACATGGTGAAAAAAAGAAATGACTGAATATCCATATTATGCACTATATTTAACTTTTAACAAAGCGATAATACATTTAAATTTGGAACTGTTACAGCCATTTTTATTATGAGCATTAGCAAACTTCTTACTGAGTGAATTGTTATGCAAATTAGCAATTATCTCAGCTTCTTTTCAGTGCACATTCGAGAACTTTAAAAAAATAGCTCCTTTACACTTTGACCTTTTGTTTTGAAATTTTCACAAATGATTGACAATGTGTTTGTCTTCAAAACGCCGTCAAGGCATTGTTTTTAGTGTTACAACAGTGTTACAACAATCGTACAGACAACTAGCATGGGTGTTAATTTATGCATAAACTTGAAGTAGCGAAATTTGAGCTGCTGCTCTGCAAAATTGACAACTGGTAGACAGTTTTCAAGACGGCATTTTCTTCATAGTAAACAGATGTACCCATAAACCAATTTTGACAGGAAACAGAAGCATGGTTTAGAAGCTAATTTTTTTTAATCACTTTTGACCAAAAAAGTACATTTTTGTGCATATTTCAAACCACAGTGTTCATAGAACAAAAATACTAACAAAATTTTAAAATTCATACAATAAGCTTTCCGAAAATATATAGTGGTGTGGACACGGGAGGTCATCTTGGTTTCCTAATTAACTAATTAAAATACCTGTCAGGTAAACTGCATCTCTACCTTAAATATCGATTTAATTGCTGTACAACATGTTTGTGAAATAATAATCAGCGAACAAATGAAGGAAATGTAACAATAAATAATAGTTATACTAACAAATTCAGCTTCAATGGCGTCATTGCTTTGGTATTTGATAACTATTGATAAGAAGCTGATATGTTAGAGATAAGGACGGCGAGTTACGAAATTCAATTTTACCTAAAACATCTTGTTTGAAAAATGACCACACCCACTTTTGCAAAGCCACGCCCAAATTATAACAATTAACAGTTAACCGAACTTCTAGTGACGGTCAGCATAGATGTGTTTGATTGTTTAACTTTCATTGCTGCGTTCACAGTATATGATCTCGGGATCGGCACGTGCCGAAATTGTTAATTATTCGTGTTTGCAGAGATTACTGTGACAGCAGTTTGCGTTCACGTTTATAGTCGGGACCCACTTGGCTCGTGCCGAAATCACGCCCTCATTCTTCAATCCTTATTTGACATAAACATGGAAAACTATACGCACATGATGATAATAACAATTGCTATATTGAAATTATATCCATTTGTGGCTATGGTGTTTATTGCGAGTCATCGAGTACAAGAACGGCAAAGAAGATTCGAAAAATATTTTTTTTTTTACGTCGACAATGCAAGAAAAAAGGAAAAGAGCGGTTGCTGCATTACATAAATATGCGTCGATGGCGACGGTTTGCATTCATTTCATTCATGACAAAAACATTTGACCATATATAGCTGCACTTACCTCCAACCCCTTGTCATACTAGTATGAATCAGTATATGTTCTCTTGAAATTACCAATGAGGGCGTAATTTCTGTTCGTGCCGAGCGTTCAGGCACAACATCTCGCCTTGTAACTTCGAGATGAAAACTCCTATTTACGCGCTGAATGGTTTAAACAATGGGTGTTTATTTTGCGCGAGCGAACTGTTTTTTTTTCATAATTCATTTTTATGATATTCTTTTATTTGTCTGTTTTTAAAACACGTATTTCCAATAGTGAATAAACTCGTGACCTTTTTTTTAAACCGCAGATGATTAAATTTCAAACGAATTAGCTCACCGACTGTTTATTTACCGTGATTCGAAGTTAGTCGAAGTGGTTGAACATGAAATATGAGAAAACACCAGTTTTGTAACGAACAAATACAGTTTATAATTTACTGACACTAATGATTTTTGTAAAATTCATTGATATTATTCCCGATTTACCTATACAGTTCTATTTGTAAGAATATTCAAAAATGTTCTATTATGGCGGCCATTTTTAATCTCTTATAAACACGCCCGTGTAGTTTCAGAAGATAATCTACACTTCATCTGCAACGTGTCCGCTAAAAACGTTGTTGTTGTAGGTTCATTCGATTATCTAGAGTGTGTAATTCACTCGCTTGCTAGATATGAATTCAAGGCAAAGACATCGTGATCGCTTGTTTCGGTGGACAGTAAAACACGAACCGAATAATGAGCTTCATAGAACATTTCGTTATCCTTACCGAAATGGGACTAGTGTCATTCATGTTTGAGACAGGTTTCTGTGTCTGCGACATACTTCAGATGTGTCTCATACATGTTTCAGACACTTTAGCTACTATTTTAAAATTAATATAATTTCGGATGACTGCATGCGCATACATTTGGGACATGAGTGTTTTTGCTACAAAAACAAACATGGGCATGTTTGGAGCTTGACTGAAATATTTCATGTAAACATATCATAATATATATATATATAATGTAAACATGTTAAAGCACATTTCAAACATGAATACAATTAGTGGCCACAAAGAACAAAGACACTCTAACATCTATGTGAAGATTCAGCATTTATTCCCACATCTGTTCAAAAAGTTTTCAAATAAATCTCTTGACAAAACCCAATTACAATAACAAGTGCATTAATACAAATCATATTGACACATTGTAGATTGCATTCATCAAATAAATATAATAATTAGAACATAAAAGTGAGCACATGTTCATCAACAGAACGGTTTTTAACAAAAATTTGTGATTATACAAGGTACACTTGGCTGAAAGTATAGTTCATAGAACTTTATCCAAGATAAGAAGATTATTGTACCATGGATTAATCACGAAATTATGTGATACCCCGTCTTTTCTACAAGTGAGATTATTTGACGAGGCGTGTCGTGTCAAAAGACAAGCACAACGAATAAATCAACACATATGCAATGTAAATGCAACGATTTGTCTACAATCATTATGTAATCATACATATTTCCTTTGTTACGATATTGTGATTCTTGTAATCATGACGTATATTTTTTTTCTCCAACGAACTAGACGTTTTAACCCCACTGTACTGAACACTGACAATGCTGAAATACATGTACCTCTTGGTCAAGACTGGAATGCCGAGCTACAAACCCAATCCCTACTATCAATACGGTTAACTGGTTTGCACACTGTGATTGGAGATTTATTGGCCATTTAATTTTTTTGTGTTTAACCAGGTTCCTTGCCAATATTTTGCATGTTGTTATTTATAAAAAATTATACAAGGTAAACTATTCTGAAAGAGTTAATTCACCAAAAGTTATTGAAATTAACTGGCGTTAAATAAAATGCATGTTTTACTCTCATTGGCGAATCCAAAATTATTAAAAAATCACCTATCTTCAAAATAATATATCTAATGTGCATGACCAATGCAAACAACTCCCAGGTGAACACTTTGTTATATTTTTAGGAAGCAGAATAGATAGAGGTCCTAATAATATAGACGTACATATTCATTTTAAATGAAAGAGTTAATTCACCAAAAGTTATTGAAATTAACTGGCGTTAAGGTAGCTAGACTATTATTTGTGTTGAAAATTACGATTTTCACATTTATTTATTAATTGATGAAATGCACCATAAACTTTCATATGATAAAGATAATATAACATAGAATGTCATGTAAGTTGGTTAAAATATAGATTTTCTGAAGGGAAGCAAGGCAACCTCAGTAGTGTTTTCCAAAATCAACAACACAGGTTTAATCTGTGTGCCTATAAGTTTCAAAGATAAACTCAAGACAAAGCAATGTTAGGATGTGTTATCAGTAGCTATCTGACACACAATGAGTGTTTCCAAACATTTGAGTGGTTTGTCTCCGCCCCTGTTTGTTTAACAGATTAGTCATTTGCATATGAATGTGTCAGACACAAGGTCACACAGCCACTGGAAAAAAATCATTGATTTTGGTGTTTTCATATGCCGAATTTATCCAATTATAGCTATCCCATTCCTTTATTTTTTTGGTTTCCAATAGCCTTACACATTTGGATGTCCCTACACATGGTAAAACAGACCTTGGTGGGAAAACAAATTGATTGTGCCGATAAACAAGCTTGAAAATCTTTGCTGTTACTTCATGGACGTTTTCTAGGAGTTTATGTTTTTCAAAATACAAGGTCTTTAACAAACAATAACGTATACTTATTGTCGTCGGATTAACACCAAATTTTCACAGCTTTAAGGTGACAATGAGAGGAACTTGAATGTGTCCAGACAAACCA